GCCGACGTCTTATCTTTCCTCCCAGGGCACAAGTCTTCTGCGAGCTTCCTCGTCAGTGCGGGAAGGTGTAGAGAAGGAAACCTTTAAAGAATTGAATCTCAGTGATCTTGATCATATAGTCTTAAGATTAGGTAAGTTTCCTCCGTAGGTGATCTCTTGATCTTCCACTTGGCGAGAGGGAGAACGCAGTAGTACAGTATTAGAATAAAATGTCCTGATGGTATTCCGGTTGAAATATTCAGATACAGGGGCCACCATCTAATTAGAAAACTAATGCTGCTGTTTGTCGTCTTGAAAGAGAAGAAAACAGTCCCTCAGGATTTCTCAGATGCAAATACGATCCACCGCTGCCAAAGGAAAGGTGGAAGTTCCTCTTGTGATAACCGCAGTGATGGCTTATTCCTCTCAACTACTAGAAACACTCCTGCAAGAAAAAAATGGCCAACAGACTCCATAATAAGTTTCCTGGAATGATCTTCCGGAAAAGCAATCTGCACAATTAGCGCTGTTTCATATTAATCCTGCCAAATCAGGCAAATTCAAGGCAAGTGGAGAACACAGGAAACAGGATAAAATTTCTATGTTTTCACATAATAAAATAATTTAATGTCGCCAGCCATGAGGGCTTCAGGTGGCTCTTGCACGTAGATGTCCAGATGAGCTCATTAACATTATTCATCTGTTTCACAGGGGAGGCAGGCTGGTATTTTGCAACCTTTCACTCCCAAAAGTAACGCCGGGCAGGGCGGTGGCCGTGCTTCCCTGTCATGTGCAGTGACAGGACTCAGGACATCTAGAGACCTGGATAAAGTAGCCTCTGTCGTGTAAGAGGTGCAGAGGAGTCCCCTAAGGCACAGGTCCCAGACTTGTTAGCCACAATCTGCATTTTTTCCTGGGAATTGCGCCCTGTTTGTGCATGCACAGGAACACCCAGTGCCTTGCTGCCGCCTCAGGAGTGGTGCTGGTCAGTTGGCAACCTAACCTGGAGGAGAAAGATGCTGATGGAAAGCACGTCAGCTCGGTAGCCTCCTCTGGCAGCGCTCAAACAGCGCTAAAATCCATAGGCAAAATGAAGGAGCAGGCGCTCTGACAGCACCCCAGCCAAGGACGCAGTAAAAGCCAGCACAGCATTTGGGAGATGAAAGCAGCACGTCTGGAATGAGAGAGGCACCCGACTTCAAACAAAAGTAAACGTGTAACGTACAGTTGTCGTTACTGCAGTTCAGTACAGCTGCAAAATGTCACATCAAATGTATCTGGTGATTCCACATGTGTTGTCTTCATGCCCTCGCTGGAGCAAATGGCAGGACGGGATCCCAAACGCCGAGATCTTAGAGCACTGTCAGACACTCAGCATCAAAGCGGTGCTCCTGGAGGCTGCGCCGGTACGGACATCTGGTGCCTGTGGGGGATAACAGACCGCCTAAAGCCATTTTCTGTGATCAGCTAAAGCACGGGGACGGCTGAGGTGGGACCAATGAACCGTTACAGGGACCTGCTCCCAGCAAAGCTTCAGCTCGGGGCCATCGGCTCCGCAACCAGAGAAACTGCAGCTACCAACCACCTGCGGGGCAGAAAACATGACCCCACGCCATCAAAGCCTCCAAATAAAACCGAAACAGTGCAGCGCAGAAAGGTGCCGGAGGAAAGGGGCCTCGGCGATGGACGGGGAGTCGCGTCCCCGGTGTCTGCGGGTGCTGGGGCACTGCAAAATTGGGCTGCGGTCAGCATGACGCTCTGCCACGAGAATATGGCTGGCTCTGCCGGCGGGACCAGCATGGGGAATAAATAAATAAATGAATAAATAAATATTAAAAAAAATAAATAAACCAGAATAAATGGCGAATAAGATCATTGTCTTCCCAGTGTCAGCAAGAGGCAATAAGCATCGTCCCCGACACGCAGGCTCCTGCTG